TGAGACTGGAGGCAGGAAACGTTTGAGAACAGTACAATAGAAACTTCCCATAAAATCCCTCTGAAATTAGGAATTCACTTCTGAAAGCATCAAGGGATAAGAAGGTATGAAGAGAAATTCACAGTAGTAGCTAAAATGTATGAATATTTTCTATGCGTCACTTCTTAGAACTTTACGTGGGGGTCAGCAGGTAGCACAGAGGTTAAGGCACTAGACTCCCATGTGGCAGCCCAAGGCAAAAACCTCCTTTAAAAAATGCACAGTATGAAGTACTACAGAGATAAAGACAATACTTCTAAAAAAGAATTACTTAATCACAAAAATGTATGTTTTTTCTCACGCCGGGCACGTGTGCGTGCGTGCCCAAGATCCCGAGAGGAGACTGGAGGAAAAGGGATTGCAGCGTGACCATCCCCCCTGGGGGTGATTTCTCGCTTTCTGTCTCTATGTCTCTCTCTCTCTCTGGCGAGCGCACGCGCCCTATAGTGAAAATCTCTCAAAAAAAAAAAAAAAAGAAAAAAGAAAAATGAATATTTTTTTTGTTTGTTTTGTGATAGGGTATATCCACTCATCAGAAAAAGAGAAAGAGAGGGGACCAGCAGGTGGCATGGTAGCTAAGACGCTGGACACTCCCACATGTCCAACCATGGCTCGAGTCCTAGACCTGGTGGCTTGCTTTCTCATTCTCTCTATCGTCAAATTAAAATGAATGACTAAATAAAGTTGAGTAAATAATTCTTAAAAAAGAAAAAAAGAGAGAGAAACAGAAAAGTGAGAAAGCACCCTCCAACACACACCCCCCTGGGAGGATGGCCATGTCATAATCCCTTCTCCTCCATTCTCCTCTCGGTATTTTGGGCACACACACACAAGCTGCCAAGTCAACTGTGCAGTCAGCATAGTGAAGGCGCAGACACCTTATCCGCCACACCAGCTGGCTGGCTCTATACTTTTTCTTTTTTAGTTTTTTGCCTTAGAGCACGTGTGCTCACCAGGGAATGAGAGAGAGACCGTGAGAGGGAAAGTGGAAAATCACTCCCAGCAGGGATGGCCATGCCACAATTCTTTCTCCTCTATTTTCTTCCTGGCATGCTGGGTGCACATACACCCAGTGTGTGTTTCAAGCCCCTCAGTCCAGGACTCGAACCATGTAGGAGTCCTGCACCTTAACCACTATGTTATCTGCTGGGCCCAAACTTCTGTTCTTTCTAAGTTACCCAGTCCAGGGTATCTTGTCACAGCAGCACCAATGGGCTGTGACAAGTGTATATAAAAGAAATATGGCAAGTGATAGAGTGACTTCCCGATGTTACAAATAACCAAACACTCTGCACACTTTGGCAGGGAGACGGCTCATCCTGAAACTGCTGTCCTAAGATAAGCGACCAAAGACGTTTTCTGAATATAAGAATTACACCTAATTATGTGAACATGCTGAATGTGAGCAACCTCTATTTTTGTCCAATCTGTCAAACGTAAGTGATTTACTAGATCTATAGCACAGGGACAGATATGTTTCCAATGATTTTATTTTAGTGAAAGTTTTCAAATAGTGATAAATCATAATCATATGCTGTCAGAAAAATGTAATCTAATAAAATGAACAAATACCTGAACTCCTAGAAATGCCATCACAATGGAGTTGATGGTCCCCAGGATTCCCTCTGGATCATAGGCCACTTCAGTGTGATAAAGGACCTTGAGAAAAGAGCACAAGAAGGCAGCACTCACTCTCCACGAAAAAGCACACGGACGACTCAGACCGAGAACAAACCGAATACACTCCACTAGTAGTGCTTTTGGCTTCTGCTGTAAATTCACGGGCAACTTTCAGGGACCACAGGCAGAATAACTTCTGGCCAAGAATGTGTGTGGCGTGCAGTACTTCAAAGGGAATGCAGAGCCCCAGCCATGAGCCACGGTCCAACCACGGCCACTCCATCTGCAAGGGTGCCCTGATGAATCTCCTGTGCCTAAATCTCTCTCTCTCTCTCTCTCTTTATGATAAAGAGTGTGTGCATGCAAAAGAGAGAGAGAGAGAGAAGCACGCTAACAGGGTCTCATCATGCTGTACTCCCCTTTCCGCAGTCCTCTGGCTCCTCAGAAACCTGGGTGCCCACATGTGCACCTAGCATGTCTTCAGGCTACTGGGGTCCCCAGACCTTCGGCTGGCTGTGTGCCCTCCAGCTTGGAGCACCCTGCAGCTTGGAGGACACCTGTATTACTGTTGCGCCTCAGTGCCGAACGTCCAAACACGAGTCTGCTGTTGGGGAGCCTGACCTAAGGCAGACGGAGAGGCACCCTGCTCCTCACTTTACTGGCTACGTCCTCATTTTACATCCAACATATCGCTTACAACTGCCTCGCGATGCGGGTAAGTCATCTGACGGCAACTTTTCAAATAGAAGTCAGAGCCCAGCAGAGCTTACTCAGCAGGCACAGTCGGCCAGGTCTTTCTATTCCCTGCGCTTCACAGACCCCAGGCTTCCAGTCCCAGCAAAGCCGTCTCACTCACCGTGGAAGAAGGATGCTTGTAAAGGTGGTCAGCTCCCAGGAGCAAGTGGTCAATGTAGCCAGCAGCTCCCCCAGTGCAGTTTGGGTACTTCCCAAAATCTCCAATGCCGCCAGGGCCCAGGTACCCCCTAGGAAAGTGAGAAACATACTGAAGTATTGAGACCGCAGAAGGAAGGGTGCGATGTGGGCTATTTATGCAGCCAAAGCCTCAAACGTCCCTGCAGGCCACACACCCTCTCCCACACCCTGCATCGTTAAAGGGAGAGGTACTATTTCTACCCTTCTTTCTGTCTTATTGCCAGAGGGCATGAGGCTGATCAGAGAGAGAGAAAGAGAGCACCTTCCCAGGGGGTGTGTCATGCCCAAATCCTTTTTCCTTCATTTCTCCACCCCCCGTCGGGGCAGATAGGCACACAGGCCAGTGTGTTTTCAAGGTGGTGAGGCCAGGATTTGACATGTGGGATCCAGCTTCCTATGCACAGCACTTCAATACTGGACTACAGGGACTGACTCTGGTTTGTTTGTTTGTTTAATTATTATTATTTAGTCTACCAGCGAGAGAGAAGGAAAGTAAGAAAGCAAGTGGCCAGGTCCAGACTCAAACCATGGCTGGCCATGTGGGAGACCAGTGCTTCAAACACCACTCCACCTGCTGGTCCATGGACAGGCTCTTTTTAAAAAAGTTTTTTCTAAAGACAGCGTCTCCAAGGGCTGGACCAGTGGCCCACAGTAAAACACAATGCTTTACACATGACCCACATGACATATGTAGACCCAAGGACACCTGTGCCATGGCTGAGGCTGGGGTGGGTTATAGTGTCAATACCGTACCAGGGAGCCAGTCTCTCTGTCTCTCTCACTCATGTAAGAAATAAATGTTTAAAAAAAAAAAAAATAGGGTCTCACTATGTCATGATCCTCCAGCCTCAGCCTCCCAGCCGGGACCACAGGTACATGCCACCACACCTGGCCTCAATACTGGGCCAGAAACTGAACCTGGGCCTCCCACGTGGTCTGTGGAGCACAGCATCAGAGCAGTGCAAACCAACAGCCCAAAAGGCCCAATTTCTATTTAAACAGACCCTGAAATAATTCATGGGGAAACTTCTCTGGACACACCGAACTTCTCCCAATGCAAAGGATCCGTCAATGGAGAACGAATGCAAGGAGACTCTTCTGACTTGTGAGACATGAAAGCTATAGATCCAGAGCCTCGGACGTGGCCGAGATGGCATGCAGGTGCAGGCAGTGGGAGCGCCGCTGCGTGAGCCAGAGACCATGTGGGAAGGCTCCAGGCCCTGGTCCCAAGTCTGTCTCAATGTGCCAGCTGTCCCTGGGGGCAAGCCCATGATCCTGGCTGGCTGTAGGGCTTGGGGAACATCCTGTGTCTCTCTTGTCTCTGTCTCTCTGATATGAAGGAAATAAATAAATAAATTCAAACAACTAATAACACACAAAGAAAGTATTCACTTACTTAGGGCACCCAGGAACTGGCAGGAAGAATGTCAAGCCCAGCCAAATGCTTTCCAACATCAAGATGACGAGCCACTGGGGCCAGCTGGATGTGACGTCTCGAAGAGAAAGACAGCTTCTCTCCTGAGGGCAGCACAGAAACGGGAATGAACAAAATGCAAAGAGGACGCAGCTAACACACAGCGAGCATGCTGGGAAAATCCCAGAGATGCTGTTCGCAGCCTTCTAGTAGCAGATGAAGTGCACCTAATACGTATTGTGGTGTCTAGACGTTTCCTCTCCATGGAACAGCACAGTGACACATTAGTTCAAAATAAATCAGCAGGCCCAGAAGATGGCGTGGAGGTTAAGGTGGCTGATCCCATATGGTTGACTAGACAGTTCGAGTCCCATAACCAGTGGCTTGAAAATCACACCAGGTACGAGTGCATGCATGCCCAAAATCCCAAGAGGAGAAATGGAAAAGAGATTGTGACATGACCATCACCCTGGGGAGTAATTCTCATTTTCTCTCTCTCTCATCTCCAGTGAGCACACACCACAGCAAGCTAAAAGAAAATAAAAATTAGGAGCTGGCAAGTGGCATGGTGGTTAAAGCACTGACTCCCACATGGCCAACCACATGTTGAGTCCTGAACCTAGTGGTTTTCTTCCTATCCTTTTTGTTTTTAAAGGTTTTTAAAAATTATTTATTTAATATTATTTATTCATTCATTTTTTTTTTTTTTAACTTTGACCAGAGGGAGACAGAGAGTGAGGGAGAGAGCGAAAGTGAGAAAGCAAGTCACCAGGTCCAGGACTTGAACCATGGTGAGCCATGTGGCAGTGTCCAGCACCTCAACTGCCATGCCACCTGCTGGCCCCTGTGGCTTGCTTTCTTACCATCCCTCTCTCTCTATTTTTTTTTTTTTTTTGGAGAGTCTTTTTCTTTCACGTGCATTCACCAGAAAGACAAAGAGACAGAGAGACAGAAAGCAAGAAATTGCCCCCCAGTGGGGGATGGCCATGCCACAATCCGTTCTCCTCCATTCTCCTCTCAGGATCTGGTGTGCGAGTTTAAGCCGCTGGGTCCGGGACTTGAACTGCAGTCAGCTACACGGGAGTTCAGCAACATAGCCATTACGCTAACTGCTGGTCCCCTTCCCTCTCTTCTTCTCTCCCTGTCTCTCTCTGGTAAAATTAAAAATAATAATGAATAAAATAAAATAAATAAATATGTAAATTAAGTAATAAACAAATAAAATTTTCAAAAAAGATAAAGAAATCAGCAGACAGGGGCTGGTCATTGGCGTGGCGGTTAAGGTGCTGGATTCCCACATGGCTGACTGCAGTTCAAGTTCCAGACCCGATGGCTTGCTTTCTCACTTTCCCTCTTTTTCTGGTCAAGTTAAAAACAACAACAATAATAATAACAATAAACAAAACTAAATAAAAATAATTCTAAAAATAAAAATCAACAGACAGTTCTACTCCTAGACTGAAAAGAGTTGAAAACGTACGTTCACACAAGAACTTGTGCAGGGCCGGCTCCGTGGTGCAGTGCTAACAAGGCCAAATTCCCCTCCATTCTTACTGTCCTGCCAGACCCTGGCCCAGCTGTGAAGGCCCTGGATGAGCCTTGCAGGCCCTCAGGTGCAGGAGAGCTGGAACCGACTGTTTTGACAGACATGGCCAGCCTGGTCCCACACTCACTGATCTCTACTTCACCTCAAGGAGACTGACAGCCAGAGAACCTGAGATACTGACAGTGAGGCCAGGGGAGGAAAAGCGAGAGTGACTACAACACGCGCCAGACAGCTGTACTCAGCAGTCGTTACAGGAAGAACCCCGAGCCTTGGGGACTCAGCGATGGACTTGCCAGGTACACGCCTTGGCAGAAGCGAGAAAGCAGCTTTATTATCGAGTGGTTGGAAAAGTCATGACATACTTTTCTGGTTTTTTTTAATGCAAAAATGCATCAAGACTTTTCCAACACCCCAAAAGTTTATTGTTAAGCAGAACTTCCAAATAAACGAATTTTGACTATTTCTGCCTACATGTTTACCTCTACTGGGGAAATAACAACTCTCACCCAGATAAATTCAGTTCAGCAATTTACAGTAAGATAGGAAGGGATCACAAAAGAGATGAGACATTCTTCTCAGAAGGCCCTGCCAGGCTGGAAACCACAGGGTCATTCATGGGTTCAGGTCGTAGGTTGCCCTGAAAATGAGCCAGGCATGTGTGCAGACGCCCAGGATCCTAGGGAGCTGGAGGGCTGGGGGAAAGGGCTCATGGCACGATGACACCCTTTCAAGAGTGTCTCTCTCTCTCTCTTTCATGCACATATACAGGTAAATGAATATATAGGTTATTACGAATTTTAAAAATAGACTTAATAAAAAGAACAGTACTATACTTGGAACTAAAAGACGTTCTAAAGACCATATAATGACTTTCTTAGTCCTCTTTTTAGTTTACAATAGGGCGCCTCCACTTGCTAGAGAAAGAGAAAGACAGAGAGAGGGAATGTGAGAAATCACCCCCGAAAAAGGGATGACCATGTCACAATCCCTTCTCCTCCAGTGTCCTCTGAGGATTTTGGCCAGGCACACACATGCCTGTTGTGATTTTCAAGTTGCCAGGTCCAGGACTTGAACCACACAGGTGGCCATGGGAGGGATCCAGCTGCCTTAACCCCCATGCCACCTGTTGGCCTCTTACCCCTGTTTTTAGAAACGCTGTTTCTCACCGAGGCACAATTTTCAGGTACGGGTTTAGCAAAGAGGAGCTCCAGCACAGCAACCACAAAGAACGTCACTCCCAACCGCTGCAGCACGCCAGGAATCCGCACCTTATCCCAAGACACTGCGAAAGATACCAGCCAGAACGGGTTAGTCAGCATTTCTCCTCTCATCTCCAGGGGAGGACATGCCTATATGACATCTAAGCCAGTCTTTATTAAGTTCTTCAAGAAAGCAATACATGCAGTCAGGAGACATGGCACAATGCCAAGTCCCCACAAAAGGCCAGCCCCATTGACAGTCAGGAACATGACTCAGACTCAAAGCAGGGAGCTGGCCGGTTAGGACACGGGGATAAGAACAGAAGGCCTCCTTCTCAGGGGTGAGGATCAAGGATCAGGCTTGGCTCCGACGTTCACCTCCTGGCCCTTTCCTATTGGAAATTTAGTCAACCCTCGTGTCCACCAGGAACTTGCAAACTCAGCACTACCCACTGGCTGACTCTCCCTGCCTGACGGTTATCACTGGAGGGATGTAACCCTCAACAAACCCAATGATGATGCAGCCCCTGGCCCCCACGCCTCCAACCCGTGAGCTGCATAGACCTCTGTCTTTGTCAATTACCAAGACTCAAGTAATTCTTCTATTAGCAACAGAACAGACTAGAACACATATAATCTTGAAATTCACTGAAATCAAAAAGGCAGGAGGGCAGGGTCTGAGAACAAGGTGGCCTTGTCCGGTCCCTTCTCTGCCTCTCACTACACTTAGATGATCCAGAGAACACACTGCCATCTCCCCTGGCCTCAGACTTTCCCGTGTACAGAGGGGTCTGTGCAGTCTTAAAAGGCACCGTCCCAGATTAAAATTCCAAAATATAATAATAATACTAATGACATTGCCTATATTTTTCCAGGAACTGTTCTATTTTGCAGGTCTGTGAGATAGAAGAAGCTTTTGTTCAAATTATAACATGCAGATTTTGGCCCAGTGGCTCTAGCACAGTGCTAATACAAATGCCCTGTACTGGAAACCATATGGCCGACCATGGGTTCAGATCCCCAGGTTGGCTTAAAAACACACCAGGCTCAAGTGGTGGTACACAAAATCCTGAGGAGAACTAGAGACAGGGCATCATGGCATGACCAGACCCTGACAGGAGTACTCCTCCCCTCCCCCGTCCTCTCATACACATGACATGCTATCACTGAAAAGAATGTAGTTCCGAATTTCAATCTGAATTACAATAACGGTAGGAAAATAATACTCACAAGGACCAAGGCAATAATTGGGGTTCACGATGACAATCCCTATACAGATTAACAGGAAACTCCTCCACGCAATTTTCCCGAGCAATCTGAATTTTGAACATCCCCGCTGCAGCATAGATGTCATTGACAGAAAAATTGAAGACCCCATAATAAATACAAACCTAAAACAAAACAAAACAAAACTCAGCTATTAATAGACCAGTTTCCATTTTGGTTTTCTTTGGCCCTGTAACACTTCAGTATTTTTTTTTTTTCTTAACATTCTACAAGAGAGAAAGAACACATGGTTTGTTTCAAGTGGACAATGATTGAAAAAACACTGGGGAGCCGGAAAGTGGCATGGAGGTTAAAGGCATTGGATTCCCATGTGGCCATCTGTGGTTAGAGTCCTGGACCTGGAGGCTTGCTTTCTTGCTTTCCCTTTCTCTCTCTGGTCAAATTGAAAATAATAATAATAATAATAATAAATGGAATTAAATGAATAATTATTTAAAATAAAAGAACATTGGGCTATAACAAAGAGATTAAAACAGACTTGTTTTGGGCTGTGAGGTTTTGACAGTGCATCTTCAGGCCCTAGCATAGTACATTGAATTCCCAAGGACAACCCTCTCATTCAGTTATCAGAGAGAAACAATAATGAAAATGCCACAACCCTAATAACCAGACATTCCCTAGCAAGCCCTCCAAGTTCTTGAGAAACAAACAAAACATTTCAATCACTTCTGGATTCACTCCCACTCCCAAAAGAAACTGAAAGCTTCATCTTTTTCTCTGTACTGGGTCTGGGTCCCACACACTTTTCCTTCCCTTTCTTTCACCATGCTCAAGTAGCTCTGGGAAAAGCTGGAATACGACTTCTCTAGTCATTTGGCTGGGGTTACAGAGAGGAGAGAGTGTTCTTACTAATCCCTTGATGTCCCCTGATATCCTTTCTCAGGGTCAACCTAATCAGATAAAAGCCCCTTTGGGGGACCAGCAGATGGTGTAATGGTGACATCACCGGACTCCACGTAGTTCACCACAGTTCAAGTTCTGGACCTGGTGACAAAACTCATGCCAGTCGTGTGCGTGTGTATGCCCAAGATCCCGAGAGGAGACTGTAGAAGGGACTGTGGTGGGGCCATCC